ATAAGCTTCGATAAGCTTATCGGAGTTTATGTGCGAACGCCTGTCCCGGACTTTACGCGAAAGTTATCGGAAAGTTGGCCTTAAAGTTGGTGGGTGCGAATCGCCCCTAAGACTCTAGTAAGAGTCAGACTCAGAGCACGCGGTACTCGATCACGATTTTTCCTGCCCGGCCGCGCACATGCCGGCCGCGACCCCATGCCGCGCCAGGCTTGCCAAGACCGTCGCCGACGTATGGGCAGCGGTATCCCGGCCACTCATCATGATGATTAATTCTGCGTCACACGCTTGAAGCATATGCACGTACGGAAAACGTACCTACTCAGTTTCTCGGTGTAATGCTGTGATTGAATCCTGCGTAATGTACGCAGACCGTCAGATTAGGATATGGCGCTTTATCGTCGGTGCAGAATGAAAGCCTCTTCTTGCAATGAAGGTTTTGGTTGCGTACCCTCGCGTACGGACATTCCAAAATGTCGGAGCTCGAGAGCTTTTCTGAGGTGAACCGTTCGATCACCTGATTTACCTCTGCCTCTGCTCATTGGCCACCGTCGATGGGCTTCGATCCAAGGAGCGAAAGGTCACGAGAACGTCACCAACGTGACGTTCTGGATGTGAACATGCGCAACTCTTACTGGTGTCGGCGTATCTAGGGTTGACCCTCTTTGACCTGTACCGGGCAGCGCCGAGCCGAAAACGTTAGCTTGGTGAGTCGTTCCCGGGTCAAGGAAACGCAGAATACCTAGCAGTCTGCCGTTGTGGACCAGTCGACACGGTACGTACCTTGTAAGCCCGCGCCGATCGATGTATCGGAAATGAAAACCTATTCGTTTGCAAGGTTGGACTCTCTGGGTTCCTTTTATCGTTCGACTGGTCGGCTGTTCTAACACCCGGCTAAAGCTTCCGCGCACCGGGTCAAAGTGCGTAATCTGTCAAATCCTTACGCAGTCGAACCGTACGGACCAAGGAGTTCGTCGCCAGTACGTACCTGCGGAAGATGAATACCGGTAAGCTGAGCTTTGCCGGCCTCACAAAATTCAGCTGTTCAAACCCACTGTGACTTTGTAGACCAAGCATTCGCATTCACAAACCACCACCTTGACTCCTGAGCTGGCTTCAAATTTTGATATAGGACTACCGGTATCACCTACTGTAACTGACTGCAATGTTCAGTGCATAGATTCATCCAGTGGTTCTAGCGGCGTGCAGATTGGCGTGCATAGCACGCCCGGGTGATTGTCTGCACGCCCGGGCGGCAGCCCGGCGTGCAGGTCAGCGTGCAGGATTCTCAGGGGTTTAAACCTAATGCCCGGTAGTCTTGTCTTATAAGATGCGGCTCAGCAAGTGACTCAGAAATGACCACAAGAAGCTGTCGACAAACCTCTCCAATTATATCTCGCACTGACGGAATATCGAGCCCCGAGCAACTTTGCAACCCCTGTAAAACCTTAAACACAGTTTGCAGCCAGACTGACCGTTCGATACAAATCTTAACCACAAAGAACCGTGGATAAAGGCAACCTGAGCTCGGACGTCAGAGTCGCGGGTGGCTATACCTATCAGTATGAATCGAAAATTGGGACTGGAAGGCAAGGCTTGGGCCGATCCGTCCGTATACATTGGCTTACAGCCAGGCTATCAATGATATCTGGCGTTCGCGGATTTGTGAAGGGGCCGGCATGAATGCCCGGCCATGCAGGCCGGAAACTCCCGGTCGAGAGCCTTGGCCCCGAGCGTGCACGCCGGGGAGCCGGCTCTGCACGCCCGGGCGGAGCCCGGCGTGCAGAATGCACGGCCGGCGAAAATTTGCTAGAACCTCTGGATTCATCTGCACGCTGATCTTGGAAATTGAAGACTCGTTGAACTGTAGCTGTTCTTGGTCAGTAATTTCCCTAGTACGGTACATATGCAGCGATGCATCAGATGATGTACGGTATGGCGCCTTTTTCGAGGGTACCTTAAGTCAGGGATCCCATGGAGCATCAATACTAGGTAGCTGGGCGAGAAGAGCGATTGAAGGGGGCAAATTTTAACCAATCAGTAGGCCCGAAATTCTGTATCTCTGATTTGCGCGAGAACCTCAGTCAGCTAGGTATATCAACAGGAGCTGTCACAACGGTGCATGGAAGCCCGGTCAATGAGAGTCAATGACCAGGCAACTGGCCCAATCCGGTATCACCAAGTGCACGCCAGAGACTCTTAGAGTAGCGACAGCATCCAGACAACCCGCATTGCATGCACATACTGTGAGCCGCCTCTTATAAGGCTGCAGCTGGAAGGAGTGGAGCTTTCAAAAACGTTTTCAAGTAAGGAAAGTGAGATCAACAGCAGTTTCAGTGAGCTTTGCTCGCGCTAAATAAGGCTTGCAAATGGGCGCACTCTGTGCCTCTCCTTGCAGCAGCTCCGGACGCCCCTTCAACTGTGACCCAACAATGGCAGACCAAATGGCCACCCTGATTCGCTTCAAAATCCAGCTCACGCTGGAATCTTCTCATGGCAACAAGGCACCAGAGAACGGCAGCGGAGACCTGGTTCTGAAGGGGAAAGTGACGGAAGGGCGGGGCGCGCTGGAGTTTAGAATGGGGTCCACCAGCAAGGATTGGTTGGTGTCGCAGCTGGAGCACAGCGTTGTTGAGAAGATGTGCCAAGTGGCACGACAAGGGATTGACACTTTCCTGGCCGGAGGCAGCAAAGGCTGCAGGTGAGACGTCCTTGCAATGGTGCAGGTGTGCATAGATAGTGTACATTCAGGCTGCCCCTATCTGGAGGAGTTGTGACGCAGATGGACGCGTTCGATGTAACACTCGCAAACGCGTGCGGTGTGCATTGCACATTTGACACAGAGCATTGGTGCTACTTTCTGGCGCATATTGACGCTGAATCTGAGTCAGCACTGAAGCGTAGAAAGCTGATTATCCAATCTTTGACAGGCTGATTGACTGACTGACTGTTTGAACAAATGCCATCCTCTTCATCTAAATCAGTGCATTGCTTGTTTTCTGAACAGTGGCCTGGGGCAGGCACCTTCCCAGACTCAGGACACATTTGGTCTGGAGGGGAAGGATCTGGTCTACCCCATGAGCCTTCCCTTCAAGAGCAATCCAGGCACTCCAGTAAGTGCAACTTCTCCATGTGTATTCTAATGGGTCGCACTCTGTGAGAGATGACTTCAGCAAAGTTTCCTTTATGTTCGTATGTTATTGAAGAATGTATTCATATGCTTCTGTATCGTAAGTTGGAGAGGCTGTGTCCTTCATTGCCATCAGAAACAGCTGACGTAGCTCTTTCTCCAGTCTTGGTCGGTGTTTTGAAATCAGAGCATTACATCATTTTGTTCCTTTTGTGCTCCAGGCTATCTTTATAGTGATGGACTTTTTAGGAACTTTTTGAGCAGAGTAACTGGCTCACCTCTAAGTCAATTGCCTACTGGATGCAATGTGACCTAGAAGTGCTTCATGTTTATAGTATCTACCTTTTGCGTTTCTTTGGAGATGATGCTTGGCACCCTAGCCTGTCTACCTTCCTGTACTTAGCAATCTTCTATTTGTCACCCCCTCTTCCAATTTGGTGGCAGTAAGTTCCTTTCAAAGCAGAAAATCAGCGTTCTCTTCTTTCAAGCTCTCGCTGACCTGTGTTGACCATCTGTTCTCTCGCAAGTCCTTCAGAAGCTGTTTTATCTGACGCAATTTGAAAAATAGATGGCTCTTGTCCCTATTTTGAACTTGAGCTTCCTAAGACAAGCTGTTACAACTGTCTTGTTTGCTCATCTGCAATTCCCTCTACATTGCAACAGCCTTCATTCATCCTTGTGTCCAAGCCCTCCCAGACCCCATTTCAATGCATCTCCATCAAAGTCCACCTTCTGACTTCTTCCTGCCGATCTTGGACCAATTTAAATCCTGAGGACCTCTAGCCTCTGCAGTTCCCTTTTCCAGGACTCTACAGTCAGCCGCAATACAAGCGTTCCACTACAGCGGACCCCCAAAGCAGACCCTTATGTTTTTGTCAAAGCTTTTCTTTTATGTCAAAACCTCTCACCTCTTTAAGGTCCACTTCAGCGCCATTTCAGAAACTGAAATCCCAACATTCCATTTTTCGCTTTGCAGAGTCATGCTGTTGCGTGTCAGTACGAGCCTGCTGCTTCCTTTTTGAAGATCCTCAAAGGTCATCTCTGCTACTCTTCCAACACACCTCGTAACCAAACCGATTGTCAAGCCTGGATTCCCCTGATCCAGACTTATTTTTCTCCTTTGCAGAACTGTGCAGTCAGCGGTCAGGACGAGCCTCTGACATCCGCCTTTGGAGACTCCTTTGCTGAGGTCAGCAATGAGTTAGTCGACGAATCGGAACAGACCCCCAGCGTAAGTTCGTTTCCATTGCATTCTTTCGGCTCCCTTCCTGAGTGGACCTGCGCTCCGTTGTCCCCCAATCTGTTTGGTTTTTACATTACTTTGAAAAAGTTACTGGCTAAATCAATCTGCTTCATCGGTTTGTTGCCAGGAAATGTATAGAAGAACATGCATTTTCCTGGGAAGCTCCTTGCTGTTGATATCACAGAGGACAAAATCCTACGAAAGCACAAGATACATGCATTCACTTCTTCCAGAAGGGTCAAAGTCGCATGCACCATTTTGTCGTTTCTGAATCTACAATTTCAAACCCAGTCTACTTTTCAGCACTCTTCTTGAGCCTCCTCCTTTGGCTCAAACTATTCTAAATGTATGCATCACTTAAACAGTATTTCATGCGCCCTTCGTCCCAGTCTCATTTGTCCTGTTCTGGCAAGCTGAAGCGAATGTCACGAGTTACCCGTCATTTGACTTGCTTTGACTTTTTGTATTCTTAGGTTCTGAGCGGCCTTTAGCCTTTTAATAAGATACTCCTTAGAAACGGTAGCCTGGAAAGATCCTAACCATTTTTGCGCTACCTCTTTCCTTTTGACTTCACTTGACTTTCTAGTTTTGCTTTACACCACTTTAGCTGAATCTATCAGGCTTGGCCCTAACCACTAAACTATCTGCTGTCCAGTCACTGAACACCATTGAGCACCCAGAAATAGGTATGAGGTCTCAGGTCCCCTCATGATTCCTCCCTTGAGCGTAACTAGGTCTTGTAAAACCCGTCCTTTGACCCATTCAAAAGATCCGCCAGGCCAGCGAACAGATTGCCTTACGCCATTGAGCACCAAAATATTCCCTGTAACATTTCAGTGTGCATGAGTCTCCACCCCACGATGAATCCATTACGTTCCTTCCGTTTGACGCGGGCTTTCCCAAACCGCTACCTAACCATTCCAGATGACACGTCATGCTAGCAAAGGGAATGCCTCCCAACACACTGACAACGGACTCCTTGCACCCGCGGCAACTTCTCCATCCTAGTCCGCTGAGTCGTTCTTGATCTTTCCAGTGCAAAAACAGGCACACAAGCTTCCAAGCGTTTCGGCCATCACTAACCCGTCCCTTAACCCTTCCAGATGACCCGCCAGGCCAGCGTGGGAGTCGCGTTCCGCCCCACCGACCAGGAGCTGCTGTCTCTACTGAGAGACCGGGTCGAGAACGGCACGGGCCACGACAATGTCGAGGAGCTGCCCCAGTCGACCAACATCGACCCACAGTACCTGCTCAGCTCGTCAGGTGGGTGTACGATCTACGTATGTTCCAGGAACCTGTTTTTTAATATGTTATAAAGTGAGATTCGCTGAAAATTCCCCTCAACGGTGTGAGGTTTCGCTCTCCGAACATGTGAAAACCCCAGCGCGTCCTGCTGTCCGGGTGCGTCAAAGACCGAGAGAACTCGGATAAATGTCACCCAATCCCATACTGATTGGGAGCTGCCAGCGTCGAATCCTCTCCGTTTAGCACCTTCGTCTCTTCGCTCTACTCCGCTGCTGCAATGTTCTGAAAAATTCCTTTCCTCTAAAACCATTCGACTTTCCCATTGCATTCACCCGGTGCTCGCTCTGCCCATACACCGACCGCTGCCCTCGAAAGTTGGACTCAATAGCCGCCTCTTTCCTCGCGCCAGTAAACCCAAGGAAAGGAATGGAGAACAGCTCAAGTTATTAACATGGACTCTCCTTTTGCAGGATCGCGTGCCAGTGCCGATCCCCCCACCCCCAGCAGCGCGCGCTTCTTCTTCTGCACGCGCACACGCGCCAAGAACGGCGCGTGGTCGCGCAAAACGCGTTCCGGCTGGTGGGATCAGGAGCGGAACCCCAACAGCTTCTCCCCGGGCGACGACGACGCGCAGAAGGTTATCTTTAACCACAAGAGCAAAGGGCGGGCGTGGACGGGGCTCAAGTGGCAGATGCACGAGTATCAGGTGAGTTTGTGATGGGGTTGTCAGCCTTGACGGAGAAAGACTGCGACCTCGAGGAACCTGTCTCGAAAAGACGAAACCTTGTCTTTTTGAACCAGCGAACCAGTTTCGACCTGGAAACATGAATGCGTTACGATTCAAATCGAATCTGAAGAGTTCATTTCGCGCCAGACAGCAACAACACTGGGACACATTCGAGAAAATCTGCAATATTGAGGGACGATAAGCTCTCGTCGGTTCAGCAATGTTTGACATTGGATCCTAAGCGTTGGGCGCACGCATTGATGTTTTGAAAGAAAAGCTTTTAGTCCAATATTATGCGGGAAGATCTTGCGGTCGACTTCTGATTTGTTTGAACTGGTCTTTCAGCAATGACGAAGATCGGTTGCAGGTCAACCGAAACATGAACCACGCAATCACGGAAAGTCCGACCTCCTTGCCACGTCATTGCCCTTTCGAATAATCGTTCCGTTGCCTTAACCTAGTATGACATCCGAAACTGAAGATTTCTATACCCTTCCACCGCAGATCTCCAAGAACGAGCCGCTAGTGCTCTGCAAGGTGATGCAGGTCGCCGACCGGCCCCGGCGCAAGGGCATCACCGGAGTCAAGCGCGAGCCAGTTACGGCGACCACGCCCCCACCGGAAAAGGTCCGGAAACTGCACTACAAGCGGCCGCGTGTCCCCCTGCAGCTTCCCACCAGCCACTCCTCGACTTTGAACCCCGGAGGGATCCCCCAGTTTGAAGGGTTCCGCCCGAAAGAAGAGACCGCGGCTTTCGACGACGAGCCTAGTTTCGCGGCCGACCTTTTCAGTCTGCTTTCGCCCTCCCCCCGTTTTGGAAAGCTGCTCGCGCTTCCATCCCCCCGCGCGGATTCCTGGATCTACCACGTGCTAAGCCAAGCCCTGCCGGAGCCGGGAAAAGGTGCACCGGAGAACGAGGGCGAGGGGGAAAGCGCCCAGCAGAGCAGCCCGGGGGACTCTTCCGAGGGGTCGGGCCAGTCCGACGCTTACGTGGGCGCGTGTCTCGGGTGTGGAAAGACCGGGGAGCTGCGGCAGGAGAGCAACTTCTGCCAGGAGGGGGCGTGCATCATCTGCGGGAGGACGGACGAATCGTACGACGCGAACACGCACCTCTGCGCGCGCTGCGACCAGAACGTCCGGAACTGGAACCGGCAGGCGGGGAACTAGGTCTGAGGTTCTCTGAAACATTTTAGGGGCAGGAATTGCCCCCGAACGACGCCCCCGGGCAGTTAAAATTACAGCTAGGGCTGCAGCTGGGAGCCTGGCCGACGAAAGATTATGTGACGTCTTGGAAAATACAAGAGCCGTCGGCGGCCAGCAAAGGCCGTTCTCGTCTTGAGAAGCAGTGGAAACTTTCGACGGGCGACCCATATGTATCATAGACTGACAACGAACACGTCTCTCGTTTGGATACAAAGTCGGCTTCTAAAAACAGTACTCATCCTCTTGATGAGTAAGGTTTCGGGTCAAATTTGGGCTTCCTAAGGTATCAGATCAACGAGGTCATCTTAGTATTTATGTACTTTATACTGGGTCAGGAACAGAAGCTGTCTGTATCGCGGCTGCAGTGACATTTTGACTAGTGATTTTGAGTTGGTCTACGCCCCATTGTCAGGAATAAAAGCTGTCGCAGCACTGAAATCAGGCTGCAGTTTTGCTGGGGCCGTCTCGGCCTTATTGACAGATTTTCAGAGCAGTCTAGGTGGACTTCGTGTCTTGTAAATGTTCTGGTCGTTTTCGCAAGTCGCTATTCGGACTCCTGCCATCATGCAAAGTTTGACGGCCCGTAAGTAAGGCAACTTATTTACGATGATGCAAACCGTTCACATCAGAGCTTGCAGGCAGCCGCTCGACGATTGCAATTCCTTCAAGTTTGCTGCACGGGACTCAGTGGACCTGCTTACGGTAGGTCGGACCGTATAATTTCTTCAGGTTGATGCTTGGAAAGTACCGTATAACTGACTGACGGCCGGTATATGATATCATAGCCTAATCCCGACCACACTACTTAGGGACATCACGAATTATTGTGTGCCGCTGTTATCTGATTTTCTAGCTAGTCACTGAGTACGAGCCTGGGCCGACGTCCGTCCAGCTAGATTGGGCGATTGCGGGACGGCCGTCGTGCCGGCCAGTGGGGCGTATATACAAGGGAGAGTCAATATATAGCAAGCTTGTCGGATGGTGGTCGGATGTAATCAAGTTTCGGTGCATCGTACAAAAGATGCATAAGATTCTGATCTCCAAAAGTGGGTACGGGCCCGCCAGCTAGCCTATATACGTAGAGGCTGTACATATTGCTGTAGACGCCACTCAGTGCTATGTCGTATTTCAATTGGCCGCTCGTGTGCAGGCGATATAGGTAGTCGATCTCTGATAGTGTCAGCGAGCTCTGATCGTGATGAAGTCATCGACTTCGCTTCTGCCTTACGCTTCATGGTTGCTCTATGATCGGCCGCTTCCCCGCCTCGAGTGCCAGAATTACTGTACGTATGTAGTATGAAGTGATCGCTCGTATCGTTCCGGTTTCCGTCCGCATTTCACAACAGCTGCCGGAACGGCACGTTGCTTTAATTCGCTAGCGAGCTCGCGATACCGTATCGCGGCCGGGATCCTGCACATGAGCAGCATGAGCTGCATGACGTGTGCTGACCACTGTGTGAGGCGGTGCTGGCCAGCTTTCAAAGTTTCATGCAAGCTCTTGATCATACCTGCGCACAGCCTGCTAGAGCCAGAGCCTGATGCACTTGCCACTCAGTGACTGACCATTTTGCAGACCTGTGACCTCTCAAGACTGAAGTCTTTAAGTTCAGGCGCTAATTTAGCGGCTAAATGCAGCATTGACAGCCTCTTTAAAGAAGTCTCAGAAGGTACACTGCGGTATACGGCCTAAATGAGCAGAAGTTGGGCAGAACTCTGAAAAGTTGATTTAAATGAGCACAAGTTGCACAAAACTCTCAAAAGTTAATTTCAAAATTCTCGAAAGCTGTGCATGATGCCATGAGGACGGCAACCGGGTGCAGCAACGTTCCCAGCATGGAGAAGGCCTGGAGCAGGTAAGATTTACATTCAGCCTTTCTCTCAGCAATCGTGCCGTTTGCTGTCAATTGTTGGCTCCTGCGGAATCCTGTGAAAACAATGGTAAGAGAGAAGCAGGTGGTAGCTTTGTAGCGGAGACAGTGCTGATGGCTGCATCTACTCCGTACCTTGTTGGCGTTGTTATTCTGTGACTGTGTTTAGCAACAGCTAAGATCCTGGCCCTCTATGCTTTTTTCAATCAGAGAGGGCCAGAAGACGCCAGAACATGAATATTCAAGTGAGCGGAAATGGCTTTGGTGAACCAAAGAGGGACTTCATCATGAAACACCTTGTTGCCCCCAATGTAATGCGCTCCTTTAGCAATTGTCAATCAACCAAGGGTCGCCTTTAAGTGATGAAACTTTAGGTTCTCGATACCATTTTAAAAGCGAGGTGATCCTTGGAATTGATGGGATACAATGTCAACGAAGTCAGATAGTTTTTGACTTGGTCCCACATAGATTGGCGTTGAAGGGTGAAGTTTGATCCTTAGTGGTAGCAGCGGCTAAAGGTTCCTGTACCTAGCATTTTGTGAAGAAGAGAAAACTCGAAAAGGAAAGTGCCCCCCTTAATGTTGCTCTAACCTTTCAAATGTAAAGCGCCAGGACAGCAGCGTTTTACCTACCTTCCAAAAGCGTTTCTGAAGAAATGCCTTATCTCCTGCAATCTGGCAGTGAAATGATAGCTGCTTTCAGATCATTGTAGCTAGTATCCTCCTGTCTTCAACATGAGATTGCAACTACTTTCCCCTCTTCGTTTGGGCATTTTCTGGACCTTCACTCATGGAGAACAATACATTCGCCGTGATCAGTGTGCTCAGCATTAGCAGTGGTTGCATCGAAAGCATGTGACCTACACATGATGTTGAGACAACACAAAAGCACTTTGAAGCGCATCAGATCACCCCAAGAGCATAACCTTCTTCTCCAAATTGCCAGTGGGTATCAATTCGAAGTGCACCCTCAATTTGAACCTCAAATGTGTAATTGAACCAAAGATCCCTGAATCCCCCGCTATTGTCCACTTAAACTTGATGTCCTGCTTGTTCAACTCGTTCACATACGTCAAGTTTCTGATTGCAGGTTTTTATAAGTCCACTTCTACACATGTCTCAATAGTTTGTGCACATATCTCAATAGTTTCGCCCTTTTCACCCTCAAGCAAGGATGACTGGACATTGCCACTTCTTCCACAGGGTCTGCTGACACCACTGCACTATGCTGTTTGGGGAACTAGAATGGACCAGAAAACTTCCAAGCTCTTGGGGCTTGTACTGGTGTTCCTCCACTACGCGGTCCTCACGACTGCTCGGCAAGGTATGCCAGGCATCTTGGTCACGTCCACAGCAATCTGGCATTTTAAAATATTGATCTTACATCCTTTGGGGCTCTGGTCCGGGTACGACGTTGTTTTTAGCGTGAAACAATGATAATCTGAGATTTGGAACAGCAATAAGGTTAGCTATTGTGTACTGCTGTAGCCTTTGATCTCTTCGTGAAAGGACGTTATCAGAACCAGATGTAGAACCAGAAGCTGTGCTGAGGCTTTGCTAGAAGCATCTAACGGATTCACAAGCCTTTTCAGATATGTTACTGAGTGGTGCCACTGAATCAATGAGAAACCCTTTGACGCTGTCTAGGGATCCATAGATTGCTTTCATAGATTGCTGTACTTTGACACGACCAGACTTCGGATTGAAAATTAGGACCCATTGATCATACGCCCTTGATCACACGTGGTTTCAAAAAAGAGCACGTTTCCAGTACCAAGCTCGTACGGTTTGCTCCCAAAAGGGAATTCTAAGTCTGCTCACGGGAGCTGTGAACAGGAAGGGAATTGTGCCACAATGATCAACCTTCACGGCTGAGCATAGGCCATGGTTGGCCTTCGGGCGCTATGCCTTTTAAAGAAACAATATCATCAGGTTTGGGAGAACATCATATGCCTTGTGCCCTTGTCACTACAGGGGGGGCGATCGCCGGCAGCCGGGCGTTACAGCAAGCCAGCAACTCTTCGTGTCCCCTGGTGTTCCAAGCTAACGATCTCAATGAGGCCATAGCAAAATGCGGAAAATGTAGGTGATCTTCCATTTTCTAAAAGCCTTTGACATGGGCTTGCAAGCCTCAATGGCAAGGTTAGTCTCGCGAAACAGAGACCCAGGTTGCAGCGGACTGACAAATCTTGGTGGGAGGATGTGGCTGTCCGTTTCAGTGATACAATTTGCATCGTTCGTCAGCCCCCTATGTAGCCTGGAGTCCAAATGATCGAGCAAGGTTGCCTTCTTCATTGTCTGCTCGTTACAAAAGTGCAGAGTTCAGTCGGAATTCAGAAGGCATCCTTCTTCCTTAGCTGCTGGAAACCATGCAATATGAGCAGGTTTCGCACGTTGCTTTGCAAAACGCCCCAATGCACACCTGCTTCATCTTTCAAACGGTGCGGTTCAAAGTTTCTAGTTGGGGGCCTTCCGCTTTGGCTCATGATCAGAAATTGGAGCGTCTGCTTTTACCTCCCACCGAAAAAGTGTGACTCGTAATGTCTGTTAGCAGTTGGGTAACCCACTCCGATTGCCTTGCTGGTCTCTCGTTCTGCCTTTCTTTGACACGCGTCAGCCTGGTATTGCCCAAGAGTTGTAAACTGTGTCCGGCCTCAAGTTAGATAGGACAGAACTGAAACCTTCAGTCACCCTGCCCTGATACTGCCTTCTGTTGGCTTGTCAATATCTCTCAGAGCACCTCTTTGCACTCAACCGAGACTACCTTCGGCGTCTCACGATGGTCAATTATGTGAAGGATTTGGTTTGAAAGGGCGATAGGGTGAGAATCAGAGTGGAATGTAGGGGCGACCTTGACACAGCCTTCCTTGCTCGCAGTCAACATATCCACGGACCCAAACGGCGCCATCTTCGGGGAAGAGTGCTGCAATCGCATTACGTACATGCTGTACCAAACCCGAGTCCGCTATGCAAACTCCACGGACCAGCTCTTGATCGCTCAGGACGTCGCAACCGCCTGCATAGCTGTGAGCATCACACCCCGCATCGCTCCTTTGTGGTTCTGTCGTTCCTGCTCGTTGAATGTCCCTTTTCTGTTCCTTTTCTGTTCCTTCTTGTTCCTTTATACGTTTGGCCTTCCCTTCTAAACTAGCGATGTGATCAACATGCGATTTTGGAACGATCCAGTTCCTGCATCCGGCTTTAGCCGATTCCTGCTCCTCCTTGCCCCCCCCCTTGCGAGATCGCCCCCTCGGTTATCATTCTTTCTTGTCGTTCTCCCCGAGTACCCTGCCCCATACGCGGAGAAAACTTCGACTTCGTGAGTACTTCTCCATCGTGGTTAGACTAGCAAGCACCAGACAGTCGTAAAAGATTTTGGGACCTATCAATGCAGCGCTGGAGCCTGGTCAACCTTAGCTCCGATACTGCTGTTTGCGTAAAAGTTGGCACCCGAACTTGAATCGTAATGCGCGTTCCTTGATCAAGGCGTTTCTCCTCTCACAGGACCTGCAATCATTGCTCGTGCGCGCCGGCATCTCCAGCAGTACCCTTACCACCTGCGGGCTGGACAGCACGCCTCTCTGGCAGCCCGCGTGCGGCGCAGATCTGACCACTCGTTCGGCCTTCGTCCGACTCGCAAACAACTCGTATCCAGGTAAGATTACGAATGTTTTCTTCACTGCCGGGGGCGCTCGCTAGGGGCTGGTAATGGGGCACATGCGCGGGTCCCGGATGCTTCACGAGAATGAAGATGATAGCCGATATCTTGCCGGGATGAATCAAGGTCTTGTATGCAATATTCCGAATGGTAGTCCCCGGATGCCGTCGCTTGTAATGTGTCAGATTCAATCAATCGAGAGGCAGTTACAGGAGGGGCCATCCGTCTTTCTCATTCGCAGTGCTGATTCAATTGTAAGCGAGTGTCTCTTCTTTACCGTCAGTCAGCGCTCTTTTGCTTCAAAGCACTGCTTCTTTCAAGTAGTCGCTCTGTCCTCGCGGTGAAGCAGGAGGAGGTCGACTTCAATACGAAACTATGCTGGTTGACTCCACGTTCTGAGAGCACATGCTGACATTCTGGAAAGGAACCAATACAGTTGACACCGTCTGCGGCGATTGTGCAGGCACCAGCGCCGCCTTGGCTTGCTGGAACCAGCAAAACTGCTCGTCGTGTGTCAAGAGCACCGACCAGCTGATCGCGTCGCTTAGGTACACCACAAAGGGGGATCCCTCCGTTTTCTCCAACGCACAGTGCCAAGGTAAGTTTCGTGAAGATAGTGAATCGATCTCAGCGTTCTAAAGCCTACTAGCTGACTTTCTAGGATTCGCGCTGACGTGTATCTTCCAGTTTCGACGTTGTCTTCAGACTTTGCCAAACAGTTGATACCTGCTCTCTACCATGATGTCTCTGCCAGTTATTTGATTGTAAAGCTAATGCTCGTTTCCCCGTGCCAAAATAGCTTGTGTCCTTCCTGCATCCACATCAGGGAGCTCATTTCGTTACGCCATCTTGCTTATAAACCCCAAGCTTCAAGCACCGAGATCCGCTACAGTAAGACCCGACTTTGTTTGTCGCTCTTCCTTGAAGAACCGATCTTTTGAATGCAAGACCTCTGTGATCAACCGCTATTCAATCCTTCGTTGCTCCCTTTGCAGACCCTCCTTTCCTCACACACCAAACCTCTTCTTGCCCAAACCCAATGTTTGCATCGTCTCCTGCAGATCTCGCACGCGTCGCTCTAGTTGCCGCAGCGTACCCGCTCCTCCTCTCCAACTACATCTCCGTCTGCCTTTTCAATACCGCAATTGACTACGTCCCTCAGTCATCAACATGTACCTCTTTGGAGTATTCGGGAGTGGATTTCACCCCAATATACAACGCCTGTGGGCCCCCCCAGATCCGGAGCACGTACTGTTGCGCCGTCGTCCAGGCATTGTTCATCCAGCTGTACGCCACGTACACAAACGTGACGGGAATGATAAACAACGAGGTGAGTTTCTGCTCCGTATCCAAAACCCCGACTGATGGTTTTGTAATTTCTCTTCGATTCCATGTCCTTCCCTTCAGTTTCTCGGTACCAGTAACGAGGAGACGCCCATGTTGTTGTCGGTCCCCCTCAAGGAGCCTCGTCTGCTGCTTATCTTGATCATCTGGTCCTCTGTCTCTGCACGGCCGAAGATCCTTGGACACCAAGACTCCACTGTTATTGGTTTCTGCGCAAGTCTTTGAGAGCAGAGCTTGGAAACGCGCTTTGCAACCTTCACTATTCGGTACTTGCGTCATTTTCGAAGGCACCGGCTTTCAGATTGTGCTCCGGGTTACTTTGTGAACCGGACACAAAGAAAGCGCTCTTGCTTCAGAATTCTGCCAGCAACCCCCGGACGTTTTGAAACCAAGAGCTTCCGCAAGTTGGGTGGCTTCTAGGAGTACAAACGCGAAGAACATCGAGGAGCTTCCGTGATACTGAGGATGAAAACACGGTCAAAATTTTAAAAAACTAGAAAGCAAAGTCCTGAAAGCCCCATATTCGATTATCACCCGGTAAAAGCGTGCTGTGTTTCCATCAGCCCCTACAGGAGATCCTGTAGAGGACAATCTCCAATCAACAGTACGGCATCAAAGGGAACGGTGTTCGCTTCAAAAGGAATTCCTCTCGTCTGATCAGCAAAAAAACGCCTCAGCGTGACCGATATTGCCATAAACTTTGGAATAAAAGGCTTTTCGGTGAGTCAAACACGACGTCATCTCCTTGTGGTTTCCCGCAGGTGGACGCCGTGGCTTGCATCGAGCAGTTCCGTACGGAGCTCGTGGCGCACGGCGTGGAGGGCTCCAAAGTCGACACGTGTCGCATCAACAGCTACGTCGTGGTCGGTCTCCTGCGCTGCAAAAACTTCACTGAGCTCCCGGGCGCCTACGTCACTCAACTCGAGAGTCGGTGCAGCCCGGGGCAATGCAGTAATTGCTCTCAAACGCTCTTCGGAATCGTGTCCAGGCTTACGGGCCCGTTCACAGACCAGTTGACCTTCCTCTACTGTAGCACGTTCGTTGGCGCTCATTATTACCACTTGTTCGGCCCCGGGGGGATCACCGACCGTGTAAACTGTTACGTGAACCTCCCCCCCGAAGTGGCGCTGACGCCAATCGCGGTGGGCGCCGGCAAAAGGGAGAAGAAGAGCACGACGGCGGTCGCGGTGATCGTCTCGTGCTCGGTCGGGTTAGTGGTCGGGTTAGTGGCCTTGGTTGGGTTAGCGGTTTGGTTCCGAAGACGGCGGAGGATCCGCGTGCAAAAAGGAAGCGTGCAGACGAAGAGCAAACGGCTGGTGGAACATCTCGCGTCGTCGGGAAGGCTAGCCGGGGCGGAGCCGCTCCAGTGGTTTACGTACCAGGAACTGAGAACCGCGACCGACAACTTTGATAAGAAGCGGTGCCTCGGAAAGGGGGGGTCCGGGATGGTGTTTTTGGGCACCCTCCCTGGGAACCGGTTAGTGGCAGTGAAGGAGATTACGAAGCCGTCGACGCACCGGGGCATCGAGGTAGGGGGCTCCTTTCTTTTCGCGTTGTGCTTCATTCTCATTAATTGCTTCCAAAGTTTTCTCTTCGTGGCAAGTCTGTACTTGCTGCAGGCTACTTCTGTCCATACTGCCGTTCGTCTTCGAGATTTGCCAGCGCTTTTCGGTAGGGATGCCAGCGCAGACTCAGGTCAATATACTAGACCAGAGTCTGAGCTTGAGGCTGTAGCTTCTGAAAGAAACGTCCTTGGGCTTTTTGGGGTCCCCGAAGTAGGTTTTTGCTAGCCGCTTGATGCTTTTGGTGGTTGACATGCTTGAGAGGTGCTCAACCGGCTTCATGAAGCAGAGAAACCCTTACGTCACTGAGGAGGAAAATTTGAATAACGAAGTGGAGACCAGATACGCAAGTTACGAAGAGCATGCATCCCATTTTGAGTTGGCCTTGACCCTTCCCTGTTGTTACAGGAGTTTCTTAGCGAGGTCTCTTCGATGGCTGCATGCCGGCACCGGCACATCGTGGCTCCGAAAGGCGTGCACGCTTCCGAAGAGCACTGCGTCGTGGTCTATGAGTACATCCCAAACGGATCCGTCGACGATCATCTCTTCCAGCCGCGACCGGATGCGATCGTACGGCCTGAGAAACAGGGGTTCCTGGATTGGCCGCAGCGGCTGCGAATCGCAATCGGGACTGCGAAAGGGCTGGCGTATCTGCACGAGGTGAGCTCCACTTTCGACAGCGCAAAACGAGCGAAAGACCGAGCCCCGTTCGTTTTGAAAATGGATGAGAACAGCTTCGGGGGCATGTTGATAGAGACATCATTTGTTGAACTGCCAGCTGCGTGTCTATAAAAACAGGAGGCGAGGATGTGTTGTCTACACGGGCCGAAATTTCAATATACAAAACTACAGGTGATGCCACGATCCAATTGAGCGTGTTGTCATCTCTTGCCCTCTGGAGTGACCTCTTTGTGGAACGACAACCTCTCGTTATGCGGTTTGGACAGGATAAAGCCTCTGTTTTTGGAATCTATGAATCGGCAAGATGCTCGATGTTGGGATACATCGTGTTCGGTTTTTGTTTTGATGCAATCCCTCTTCTCACACGTGCGCGCTTCTTCTCTCGCAGGACTGCAATCCCCGGATAATACACAGGTGAGCATGAAGTGCTTGGCCTCATTGTTGAAAGTTTCTTTGGTGCCGGACCACCCGCCATTTGCTGTCAACGAGGTCCAAAGTGTGCCATATCCAAAGTCTGCCACCGCAAGCCAATGTAGCTCACGCTTCTTAGCTCTCTTACTGAATTCTGGGTATCTGGGGGTATGCCCGACCAAAAGCCTCTTTTGATTAGAAGCTGCAAGTTGGCACGTCTGGGTGGAAACGGTTTCAGGTTCACTAGTGGAAAACTCGGCTGTTTCAGTTCGCAGGATAAGTCGAGGCTCTCAATATACAAGTGTAACTTGTATCTTCCGATGGTCAATCTCGCTTCGTTTGTTATGGCTATGACTTTCGATGTCAGTTGGTTTTCTGACGTTACCCTTGGCTTCCGACGTCATCGTGAGATGCTTACGGTACCCGCATTCGCTGACGTCATCCCGTGTGCCGACGTCGTTCTAGAGACGTGAAGCCGTCGAACATCCTACTCGGGGAGGATATGGAGGCGAAGGTGGCCGATTTCGGGCTTGCGAAGTTTACCGGGGATGACGAAACGCACGTGTCAACGGGTGAGTTTTAAACAAAATCATATCTTCAAGCTCGCGTTTGTGTGCTTGTGCTTGACCACTATTTTGAAAATCTCGGTGTGAGAAAAGGTTTTGATCTCAAAGAAGTGAGTTTGAACAGCACAGCACGGTGCATATTCGGCGGTGGACCTGAATTAGGATCTTGGTTCTGTCTGCTTTATCATCAATGTCACTGCGGGATCTGACGTCTCATGTAAAAAATTGAACGCTGGGGGTCGAACAAGCCGGCACTAATAGTAGCGTCCCTAAGAGAACTCATCTGAAAGTTACTTTTTACAAGGCAGAGACTCGGAGATTTAGATTTATGTGGTTTGTGGTTAAGAGAACTTGAAGGAGAGGCAAGCAGGAACAAAGCTTCGAAGCAAACGGAGGCAAAGTGATTTAAGGTCCATTCTTGGTCCGTGCTTCCATTTTCGAAGGCGGCCACATTGATGCGTGGAGAAAGGACGCGAAACGCCCTGTCAATCCTCCATATCGGCTACTGATATTGGAGGTCTGCCTTCTGTGCAGGTGTGAGGGGCACTTGGGGCTATATAAGGTGCGTTTGAAGTTGCGTTGCGACCGCCTTTTGCGACTCACAACATTGCAAATCCACGGTTTCGCGGCTCTCGAACTTGATCTGATTGTCGGTCGACAACCGACCTTTGTTGTTTTTTCAATGGAACCACCGGACGAATCGTCGATGCCGCAGCAACTGCCTCGCTTTGTTCCATCTGGACACGGGACAGACAAGCCTGGCACAAACTACTGTAATTTTTTGCAAGAGCCTTCCTCACAGATCAGAGAACTCCTCTCTTTCTTGCCACGCTTCTTCCGGGTCGAAGTTCGAAGCGCTAGGTTTCACAAGTCGCTCACTTCCTTGAACGGTTCCTCAGAAGGTCCTGATCGATGCGCCGTATATAGAGCAGCGGCTTTATCTCGCACCAAGAAAATCGCTTTCAGAGAGGAGCTTCGAAGCTTCAGAGCTGCTAAGAGACTGGCGTTACCAGCGAAGGTGTTTTACAAACACATTGCTGACAGTTTGTGCGATGCTGCCAATCCATTTCGAAGATTTGATAAGGAAAAGAAGAACTTAAGGCAATCACACATGATTCGAGCGATGCAAAGGGGTTTTTGGGGACAAGATCACCCTCGCGCACATCTGTTGGTAATGCTTTCGTAGAAACACCACCTTCTCGACCGGAGAACGGCCCCAAATGATTAGTTTCGTCTGCAGCCCGGAATACGTGGCACACGGACAGGTGTCCGAGAAGTCGGACGTGTACAGCTTTGGTGTGGTGTTGCTGTCGCTGGTAGCCGGCCGGAGACCGGTGGAAACCGAACGAGAAGAGGGGCAGGTAAGAAAACGTCGCTTTACCAGTTTCAGGGTTTGAGGTTGAACGAGAACGGGTTATCTCGTTATCCGAAATCGGAAACCTGCGGCGGCAGAGGAGACTCAATCTGCCGAGCCAACGCCGCCGGTCAGAGATCCATCGAGGACCGAACGAGAAGAGGGGCAGGTGAGAAAACGTCCCTTTGCCAGTTCAGGGTTTTGGGGTTGAACGAGAACGGGTTATCTCATTTTCCGGAATCCGATTAACCTTTGGCGGCGGAGGAGACTCGATCTGCCGAGCCGACGCCGCCGGTCGGAGATCCGTGGAGGACCGAACGAGAAGAGGGGCAGGTGACCATTTTAGCTGCTGGGACCGAATGAGTACTCAATAATCTGCGGGTTAACAGGGCCGGGTCATCTTGACCTTTATTAAGTTTCGCATGCATTGGCCGAAACGAAGGGACCCGACACGGTCAACGTAAAGACGCCGTTTCAGGCGGGGACTCATGTAGACCGAACAAGACGGCGGACAGGTAAGAACCGGACTGCTGAGTTCAAAAGGCTACTATAAATGTCGCTCTCGGGATAAGTTGACGAGGTCGGGTTATCCATCAACCGCTGGGGTTAGCAGGCATCAGCTGAGGCGTCTCGACACTGCTGATTCGTCTCAACGGCGCCATCTGAGTTGAGACGCATCGAGTCTGAAGGGAGATAGGGGCAGGTGCAAACTCGCACTTCTGAGGTGTGACAAATACCTCACTAAACATTTCGCAGATTTGACGGGATCATCCGTTTTGGGTCGGCAAGACCTGCCGATAAGACGCAACCGTAACGGTTCAGTATTCAAGGACGTTTGAGCACTGGATTTGGTTTCGGATTCCGTCTTGGCACATGGAGATGCAGGGGTACAATGCACAGCCGCATCGATCACCCTGTAAATTGAACAATGGTGGTATACGTCCAGTTTTTTTTTTCTTTGGATTGGCGAAACTTTTTTCGAGTCAGCTTTTGAGTCGCGTCTCTGGAGAATCCAGCAGTGTGGCTCCCGGTTGGCGCAATCAGCGCAAGCCAGAGCGGGCTCTGGTCTCTGTTTCTAAAGGAGCGGGACGCCAACATAGTCGATAGGCGAGGGTGACGAGATCTGAACGGAGAAGGACTGCAGGCGTATGTTTGCAACTCATTTGCAGTGTCTACCATCTCGTCAAACCATACCGAAGAGATGCAAGTATATACCATCTCGTCAAACGTACCAGAAAGATTCAAACCCGAAGAGAGTCAGAAAACTGGATATTGACTATCCGTCTCTGTTACTTACAGGTGTTTCTGACAGAGTGGGCTTGGGCAGCCGCAGAGACCGGCGATTTCGTGTCGATCCTGGAACCGGCCTTGGCATCAGCCCTGCCGGAGCACGAAGCTAGCATATTAACAGCGATTAAGGTGAGCTAAAGATCTTTTGTCGCTGGGACACGGGTCCTGCCATCTCGTCAAAAGCACGCCCTTGATCTTCAAGTCGCTATGTCTTGGTGTGGTTTGCAACCAAGTTCAAGACAGGCGGATCTGGTTTCCAATAAAGTTCAGGACGGGAGGATTACTGTACTAAGCCATTCCCTTCAGCGCGATGTTCCTGAGTCACCAGAATTTGCAGTCGGAAATGGTCGCGGTTCAGACGAGCAAGCCGAATCGCAGTCTCTGTTCAACGAGTTGACTGTGGAGTTTTCAAAAGCAACAGTGACCGTTTCGCGTCTCCGATTTTGTACTCTTGGTCCATTTTACCAGTCTCCATTGATGACGTCATGCTTTCGGTTCCAGGTCGGTTTGCTGTGCGTTCACACCATCATGAGCTACCGGCCGACGGTGCGGGAATGCGTCGCCATGTTGTCTGGACAGATGGAAGTACCTCCGCTGCCGCAGAAACCGATGACGATTTTCACGGTCCCGTCAGATCGTACATCCACCTCAGCGGTAACCATGTCGACCCAAAACTCTGCCGTCCTGAGCACAAAGCCGTCTAGTTCCAACGAATGACAAGGTGGCACTGGCATCCTGGTGGCAACGGTTGTATTTAAACCGCCGGGTATGTAGCATCGAAGTGGATGCTAAGGTGAAACTTTAGCCAGTATGTGTTGTTAGTATAGATGGGCTTGGTGGCAGGGTAGCTAACTCTGGTCCCATGCGGTGCTAGCCCGCCCAGCTCGTAGGTGCACAGAATTAAGTTAGGCGGTTTTCAATGTTATTTCTGCAAACATTGCCACTAAAACAACCGTAAAAAAAGTTGTAATGCTCGAAAGAGTCTTTGGCCGGTAACTGCACTCACATTTTTGCGGGCCTTTGCTGCAACGCAGACTGGCCGCTAAACTTGGTTCAGCTAGAGCACAGAGATTTAGATGCAATTAGTATCGAGGGCTACGAGCTAGGACGTTAACCAGCTATTTTCAAGTCCGAGCTCGCTACTGCCCGACTGAGTTCATATCTTTTACCGGTCTATCTTTTGATTCTTGTTGAAGCTTTTGGTTTCGCTTCTTCGTCTCATATCCTGTAATGCGCGGCAGTGAATTGCATGCCCGTGCCGGGATTGGTGCTATATCCTGACTCGTGACGGTCGCTGCTCGTATCACAGTGCTCGCTTTGAACGGTCAATCGAGCATGCAATGAAAATGCTTGTATGGAGATCATGTCGGATTGTATTAGTAGGGTCTCACCGTCTGCAGCTTGCCCGATTGATGTTTGGGTCCAATGTTTTTAACCAGGGCGTTCCGACAACGGTTCAACATAGTAAATCAAGCTTTTGAGGTGACGTACCACCATTCCTGGCCGGCGCATGTCACTCAGTGGACTCACGTGCCAGACCGTCCGTCAGTGTCGGACATGCATTCCAAGTTCCAGGTTTGGCTTGTCATGCCAGTCACGTGCACGATCAGGCCGGCCCGGCCCGACTCACGATCAGGCTATACAATATCATTGGCACTGCATGTGGCCCGGAATCTCAAGTTTGTGCCTGCATGATAATGCTCAGCTGACCGTACGGTCATACATACATACATCACATTTAGTATAAAGGCGCCGTACCGAAGCATGAGCCCGGCAATTGATTGAGTACATGGGGTCAGAGCCAATGATGTTTAATGTCCAACATTGAAGCTATTGAGCTAGGATCTAGGATCGCAGTGCAAGATCTTACTATCGTATTGGCGAAGTCCCGATATAGGAGCCCTTCATTTAGCAAGAATCGCTTATAAGATATACGATCATATATATCTATCGTATACGATCATACTAAACGAAGCTGAATGCATTAGTTATCTCTGACAGTGGGCCGGCCGCCGGACTGCGGACTGACGGCCTAATTTCAACTGGCCATCCGTTGCATGACGCGGTTTGTTGGCCCACATGTATCAATCAACGAAAGTTTGGTGCCACAAGACACAACTTGGCAATGGTAATGCAACCAAATGCAACCACTCAGTCGACATCATGGCATGCCATGATGGCCAGCTAGGGCTCAGCGAGTCCAACAGACTCCATGCAATTCAGCAGGTGCTGGCTGAGGGCCGCCGCCCCGGCCCGCATCATATTTAGCCTGAACTATTTAACCGATCATCAGACTGTCATGCTGGCATCACATAGCATTTTGTTTTCCTTTCGGGCGGCACTAAATAAGAAGACCGTCCATGAATGGACTCGCGAGGGACACAGTCTTAAGCTGTTCACTAAGAAAACATGACCATATAAATTTATGATTACAAAGCCCTTCAGCAGCACCTTTACCACAATCACTCCTTCTATGTACATTGAGCGGCCCACGGAGTGCAATCAGGCGCTTATCATTTCTTCTTTCTGCTCCCCGCGCGAGTCGCCTTCTCGGCCCTTACTTGTTCCTTGAGCTGAAGGTATCGAATGGACTCCGCCTTTTCCATGATGTCTTGAACTTTGAGATTTGGGTTATGTTCTCGGCAGCCGAACATACAATTCAGATCCCAATACTCGCGCAACGGGGGGCAGTGCTGAACCAGCTCATAGCAGACCAGAGCCGCGTTCTCCCAGTTGTTGATGACGTCACCTGTACGAGGGAAGCAGACAGAATGCATGAGCGACGGAAAGGTTGAAGGAGCGCTTGTGGAGTTCTGAAAGACGTTCGTCCTCGGTTCAACGTTGGTACAATAGCTCAGAGGCGGGCTCTTGTTGGTGCGGAAAGCGAGCCGCCTGAGAGAGTGCGGAGCAACGTGCTCTCCGTATTGCAGTCGTAATTCATGCAGCGAAAAGAACTTCTGCCTAGGGATGTTGGCAGCGAGAGCATGGCGCTCGACGAAAAACGCCTTCGTGCATGTCTCCGCGGTCGGACGCACGAATCTCCAAGAAAATCGTATCATGTAAACACGACACAAATGGTAAAATTGTCACCAAAAATTGATCTCCTGAGGCTCAGCTCAACCTGAGGTCTTTGGGTGGTCAGGCCCCGCGAGAAATGCCAACATCCTTCAAACTATTTTGTAAGGCAACAGGAGAGTAGGAACTTCGGTGCCCAGCCAAAGGACCCTCAGAACTTCACTTCGTTTTCTTCAAGCTGCACTCTATTTCGATGCGGTCCAAACAGCGGACACTGAGTTTGCAGAGTCAGTACCAATTGCCGTTTAAGACGAAACCGCACGGATGATAAGTAGGATACGACTTTTCGTCCCTGACAAGCTCGACTATCTGGAAGTGATACTGAACTGGGAAAAATCGAGGGCGGGTCGGCGGGTAAGGACTCCAGGATAACAAGACACAGAACGAGGTACAGAATTTCAGAACCGACCCCCCAACAATTCCCAGCACTCTTTGCACTTTTCCGAATACTGGTGCCGCGGGCAATGTCGCTTGCCTTGGTAACCCGGTAACAAAATGTTGATTGCCTTGATTCATTTTTTAAAGCGCGGAATCCAAAATTCTCTTCTGGAAGCACAGAAGTTTGAGACCCACCACCCAACGACTCCCGGAACTCCTCGCACTTCTCCGGGTACTGGTCCCGCAGATCGATGTCGAGCGTCTCGGTCACCCGGTAACAGAAGCCGAGGCGCGTCTGCCCGATCTCGTTCTCGTCGCGCGGCTCCGGCAGCTCGGGGTCCCACGCCAGCATGACGTCAGCGAGGATGCCGCCCGCGAAGCCCGGGACGTTCTCGAGCGCGCGCGCAAAGAACTCGAGCGCGACGGCCCATGCGCCTTGCCCCGGGTAGAAGAGGGCCTGTCGGGGGACGGTAACTAGGTTGGCGACTGTATGATTGTTCTGCGTTAGGAGGCTGGAGCTTAAGCCTTGGAGGTGCCCACAGCTTGTTTGAGGCAGTGGATAGCAACCCTGTGCTTGGTAGAAGGAGGGCTTGAAATTAGGAGATTAGAAGGCCAACGAAAGGCTTTGAAGGCGAGGACTGGCAAACGCCTTGGAGCGCCTTCAACTACAGAGAGTCTTATTGCGAACTGACCACGTCGTTTAAGAAGGTGCCCAGATGGAAGGAAAACCTGGAACGACATCCAAGAAACCTACTTTTGGATATAGTTGGGACGACTCGTACCGTCGCATACGGGTACACAACAACGACCGCCGCTTCCCGGGGTTCCTTGATACTCTTGGTTGCAAGCAAGCAAGAACAAAATTCTGTTTTAAAAGCAAATGAATACCCGCCCCAGAATTTACCGGTGTCAAAAACACATCATCCGTACCTTTGCATACGCTTCCACGACAACAAACGCCGTCTCGTAATGCTCCTTCACAGGCCGTCCAGAACCTCCTTCCGCTTACGCATGGTCGCAGAAAACGAAATGGATGCGCCTTCATAAAATACCAGAATACCCCAAATTTGGCCAAAGCCCGGTTGACTTTATTCGGACCTTTGCATACGCGTCCACAATTACAAACGCCGTCTCCGGTGCTCCTTGATGAGCCGCTCCAGCACCTCCTTCCGCTTAAGCAAGGTTGCAAAGAGAGAGAAGAAAATGCGTCTCGAAAACAACAATCTAAACCCCCATCTTAACCGCTTCGAAGCTGCAATCAATGCATACCTTTGCATACGCGTCTACAATCACAAACGCCGTCTCTCGGCGCTCCTTGATGAGCCGCTCCAGCACCTCGTTCCGCTTACGCGTGATGGCCGCAAAGAACGTCAGCGAGCCCTGGAAGGCGCCCTCGCCTTCCATGACGTCATCGTCGCCCCGCGCCGCCTTTGCCAAATGGTGCAAGTCCGTCGTCCGGAACATAGCCTCCGTGCAAGGACCGAATGTGGTACTGCAAGGAAGAAGCATTAGAGGTAAGGTATAAGGGATGCAGATCTAGAGAGTTGCCAACTCGGATACGATGTCGAAGTCGTGACGTCGTCGTCACGCCTCATGCCACCTTTGCCAGGTGGTGCAAGTAGGTTGGCTCTCGTACAACAGCCAAAAGCGCCACTACATGTGTCAGAAATTGGGGCTACCGGGCCGGAACTACGAAAATTAGGGCTTGAGATTCTTATGAGAGTTCAGAAGCCGTGACGTTATCGCCCCGGGCCTCCTTTGCCAGGTAGTGTAACTTCCGCGGTTTAGAATATGGCCTGTGCGCTTGAAACAACTCCACCTTCAGAGGGTTGATGAACCTCCCGTTCATCAGTCCATGCCAACATGACAACATACTGCAACTTCTTCCACAGACTTTGAACAAAGCTCCGCTCCTTACCTGGCCTTTCCCGCCTTCTGCAGCAGGTTCCCCTCCTCCATCACCAGCCGTCCGATGATGGCCGCGGACTGCGCCTTGGCGACACGTGTCGTCCTCACAGCTGGCGCCAGCATCTCCACGAGGTTCGGCCCCACCCCGCGACCGAGAAACCGCCGGGCGAGCCACGGCGCAAAGGGACTGACCCCAAAGGGACTCGCCATAAAGCGGAACCCCTCGTTCTGCATCCGTTCGGACAGGTCGCCCTGTGGCAGAGACAGTGTTCTCAGCACAGTGCGAAATCAATTTGCTTTGAACTTTCCGGATCTTTAAAAATCAGCGACTTTTGTGAGCAACGGCACGAAGGGATTGACGCCGAACGGCCTTGCCATGAAGCGAAACCCTTCGTTCTGCATCCGGTCCGACAGATCGCCCTGAGAGGAAGAAAGTGATGTCATCTGGCTGCTTTGAAACCCTCATTCTGAACCCCGACAGATCCTCCTGGACAACGACGGCGACGACAGCATTACGTTGCATATGGTTCCATCGAAGTCACGTCAACATTTGTGGACCACGGCGCAAACTCTGAAAGGACTTGCTGATACGCGAAACACCAGGTTCTGCGTCCTTTTGGAGGTCTCTCGAAGACAAATGTGGGCGCGTCCACATGGAGTGGCACTCTGAAAGGGTACAGATGTGTACTTTGCGGTGAGGACCTCTCACTCCGGGATGATCGAAATTATGCTGTTCCACCCGACCTTTTAGCCGAGCCCCAACAATCGCAGATCCCCTCAGTCCCAACTCAATCGCTTGCAGTTCTCAGCAGAACCGTCAAGCAAATCACAGTGAACTCAGAAACATGAAATAAATCAGGTCATCAAAAAGAAGCTGTCAACGCGACACGCAGTCCCACCTTCAAGACGCGCTTCAAAATGATCTCAATCCCGTTCAGGTCCATGAGTTGCGTCATTAGCTCCTTGTCTTCCGTCAGTTCGATCACGCGCCGCCCGCCCACGTCACGCTCGTTCAACGTCAGCTTACTCAGCGCCGCTAACGACGGGAGCAGGGGATATAGGCCGGGGTGGGCCATGTTGAACGCACCAGAATGGATCTCCTGCGGGTCAGAAAAATACACCGTCAACCTCCTATCTTGATCTGGATTCTACTCCTTCGAATTGACTTTTTGTAGACGCACCAGAGTCTATCTCCTGCGAGAGTGAGTATGTATTTGGCAACCTCCCAATCTTCTCCGATTTCTCTCGTTTATCTGTTTTTCTGGTAGTGTTGTATCCCCTTCCAAGCACGCCTTGCAAGCTGGGTTGCTCCGAATCATTACACGATCATTCAGCGTCAGCTTAGTTAGAGCCGCTAGCTATGGGAGCAGCCGTTACAGCCCCGTTGAGCTATGTTACACGCACCAGGACAGAATCTCCTGCCAGCTAAAGATGGACCTTAGATCACGAATTTCAACCACATTACATCGCTCGTCGAGACCTTGTTTTGTCTCCACGTCCAATCGTTTGCAAGGCTTCGAAGCAGCTCAAGTTTCTGACCGGAACTTTAAATACTCGGTAAAAATTTCCCTGATGCCAACGTGTCTTCCAGCAAACATGACAATCAAAGTCCCCTGGGGTTGTAGGTTACCTTGTCTCGGAGAAACGAAAGACAACGCGCCTTTTGATGTGACAAATTCCGGCAAATGTGACTGAAGATTCCGAGATGCAGGGGTTTTGAACGTAGGAAACGAAACGAAAAGGACAGAAGAGAAGGTGCCTTGAATATAAGGTTCTTCGCAAGAGTCTCCGAGATGCAGGGTTCTGCAACGGAAAAGAAAGAAAGGAGGAGTCATCTGAACAGATCGATTTGTACCTTGTCTCGCGTCACAATGTCCAGCACCGCCTTGAGGCACTTCATCTTCCTGATAAAGTCCTTCTGCGCGCGCAGCTTTTCAATGGCACTATCGCGCACATGGTTGCTTGCTGACGTGTCCCCGAGCACAGCAATAGCCTCCCATATGTCCTTCGCCTGAGAGCACCTGAGAAGGACACGGCGAAAGGGTTTGGTCTAGTTAACGTCAGGTTTGCGACTATTGTCAGATCCGTTAGCAAGTGGATGCTCGCAGACATGTTCCCAAGTGCAGCGATGGCCTCCCAGAAATCCTTTGCTTGAGGGCACCTGAGAAAGCAGGGCGTAACGAGAATTTGGATCAGTGAGAGAAGCGGAATTGCTGTCAGGATCGGGGTGACCGCCTTGGTCCGGGTTACCCTGGGAGCAAAATTCACAAGCAGGTAGAACAGCTGAAATCGGTAATTTACGGGGCCCATGAATTAACCATCAGATTTTCTTTTACGACGGTAAGCTTCGATATCCTTCGCTTGGGCGCTTGATTACGGTACAGTACACAGCTAACCACATGAATTGAGCAGCCTGCAAGCCTTAGCGCCCCCTTCACCCTTACCCAATCTTTTGCATCCAGGTTTGTCGTAACCACCTGAGTTGTGCACGTTCTGATCGCCTTTTGCATAATTTAGACACTACTACTGCAGCTTGATCCGCCTCATTGAGTAACCCAATTTCGCTCCACCGAAAATGGCTGTCATAAGCGTATCCCACACTACGCACCAGAGCTTCGATAACCCATCTAGATTTCCGTAACCCACCTGGGTTTATGCAGTTCCCAGTCCCCTTTAGCACTTGTTTCAGCAGTACCACTGCAACCTACAGCGCTTCAGTGGACACCCTAAAACCGGTCTCCTTTACCACTTTACGATACCAGAGCCTCGATAACCCACATGGGTTAAAGGAACCCACCTGGGTTTGTGCAGCTTCCAGTCCCCCTTCTGGCACTCTGGGCTGCAGTACCACTGCAGCTTGCAGCGCGCACACTGCTTCAGCGCCCCGTCCTTCTTGCCACACATCCCGCATCCGTCTTCCCTTCGCTTCACCTTCTCCAGGGGCTTTGCCTCACTCGCCTTCTCCTTGAGTAGCCTGCACGAGGTTGGGTAAGTCTCTGTCCAATTCCTCGCAAGTAGATGTGTACGAGCTTCAGTCGACAGATACTCGAACCAGTTTGCAGCTCTGTGTGAGGTGAGGTCGCCAGACGACGGGTCTCATTTCTGTGAAAAGCGCTTGGCAAAACCCAGAAAAGTGAGCTGTCTGTCCGTGCTGATCGAAACGGACATCCAACCATGACTGATTGACACCCTCCGCACAGCCTCGTCCTGTCCATCAAGGACAACACGGAGCGAAGCTTGCTCCTTTCGGAGACTGCTAACAGTTGGACACACTTTGGAGTGTTGTCTGAAAGAACGCCAATGACTGCAGACACGTTCAGATCCTCCGTCTCAACTCACTCTCAACTTGTCGGACTAAGAACCTAAAGTTTCAAGAGACCCCACTATGTGCAGAGAGCAAAGCAGTGAGATTGAGTCGCAATCTGTTTTCCAGAACCACACTACTCACGTCCGCACTTTTTCCATCCTCTCCTCCTTGATCCAGGGCCTGCGTTTCTCCGTGCACTGCAGCACCGACTGCCCCTTCGAATCATGCGCAAAGATGCTGGCGCCCTTCTCGAGAAGCATGACCACAATGTCGTAATGGCCATACCCCGCGGCTAGATGGAGAGGCGTCTCTTGAAAGGGCACCGTTTTGGAGTCGACGGGAGCACCGGCGGCAATGAGCAGCCGTGCGATGTCGGTCAGTCCCTTCAGGCTGCAGAAAGAAGTCGTAGGAGTTGTGCCCATCATACAGAGAAGGACAAGGAGGTCACTTTAAAGACGTTAAATGTCTTCCCCTGACGAGCTCAGGTCATTCGCCAACATCTCAAAAGCAGCCCCCTCGCATCCTTGCTGATAGCAGAAGGATTTCTTTGTCGCTAAGCCCCCACTGCTGCGCTCCCCACCTTTCTTACCCCCCTCCTTAGGTCTGAGAACATAAGAAGATTGCTGGACAAATACGAAGTTCTCGAATCGTCAAAACATGTGAAGCCAAAGGGCCTTCAGTCGCTCTTCTGTTTGGCGCCGTCTCCGTTCTGACTTCCCGCAGGTGTCACTGACGTGAGCTCAACACCCTTGAAAGCTCAAGCGCCACCGACTGAAAGTCTCAGCACACCCTGAAGCCCCAAAACATTCAGTGTCAACAACTTACCAAGTTTACGATCTTGGAATCTTCAAGCGTCAATAAGCAACGAATTAACGCTTGAACTTGTTTACAAAGCAAGTCACCAATCAAAGGCCCGAGACCCCAAACCACTTACCAAACCAAGTGGAGGCCCGTCCACCCGTCGCTGTTCCTTTTTGCGATGTCCACTTTGCCCGTCTTCAACAGCCGGCGAATATCCTCGATGTCAATCTCTTCGATCGAATCGAAAAACTCCTCCTGCTCTGGGCTCGGGGAAACATAACTGTCCTCAACTTCCGCCACCCCCGGGAATTGGCCCCGCAGGAAGCCCCCCATCATGGACTTCATCAGCCGGTCGGGATCCATGGACGCGTCTAGTTACAAAACGCCTGCAGGCAAGAAGCAAGGAAGTGGGCTGCTTTTGAGTGTTCACCACAGGCAATCCGCTAACAAACATGGAAAAGGCGCTTAAAGAAAGTAAACTATCTCCAATCCTTTGAAAAGTTGTCAGCCTAAAAGCAAGGATTTATTTTTGGATGATGTTGGAACCTGCAAGCAACTCGAAGCGAACGTTGATTGTTAATCAGATTTGCTTTGCAACTTCTAAGGATCCCCCAAGTCTTTGAGAGTATTAGTGGCGATCAATTGAGCAAGAAACTAGCAGCGGGCGGAATCTGGGCGCCAGGGTTTAGATGCTACAATCAGGAACACCGCTCATTGCAATGAAAAGGCAATACAGTCTGGAAGAAGGGAGGCCGCTCAGATTGCCAACCTGATCAAAAGCCCGGAACATGAGATGCAAGCGACTTTGACGCCATCTAAATCTTTCTCTTGCGCCCCCCCACATTTGAAGAAAGCTCACCTCTAAACTCTTAGTGACAACACACGGTGGCTGCTGTGCACCTGCACTTTGTTCCAAGGAATTGAGTTTTCATAGATTTCTCTTTTGGGCGCCTGCTCCAGTGACCTTTGCATACTGCCTCAACCAAGCTGCGAGTGATTTTCAGCTTGAAAACACATTAAGCGTGTACTGTACTTTCAAATAATCTGAAGTACTGAAGGAAGTGAGGATTCCTTATCACAACGTGGGAGGATCGCAATCCACTGCAACAGCGGCCATTTGTTTACAGATTACATACATTTGCACTTTCAAACTTGGTCTCACGCCGCACATCCTCTTACCCACCTCAATAC